TCGGGTCCTTCAGGTGCTTCGTGTCCTTTGTGTCCTTCGGGTCCTTCGGGTCTTTCGTGTCCTTCGGGTACTTCGGGTCCTTCGTATCCTTTGGGTCCTTCGTGTCCTTCTGGGGTTGATGGTGGATTCTTCTTATAGGAACTCCGTGAAGCTCCTTGATCCCTGCCTATTTAGAAATCGGTCTCACAATCACATTCTCTGGAACTATCCTCATCGGAGCTGTGTTCACGGTGTTGAAGTATGGAAACAGCTTCTCGGTGAAGGTGTGTGTGAAGGTGTGGAGGTGTGTGTTGGTGTCGAGGTCAAAGAACAGCAGCTTCCCTCTGGTGCAGTCCAGATAGACTCGGATCCTCTGGAGCGTTCCTAACGGTGACAGAGGCGTGGACGGGTCAGTTAAGGAGCGCGCGATGTATTTACCGTCCAAGCATCCGATTCTCCACAAGGAGGACGGGTGCGTTCCCTTCCTCTTGACGCTCTCAGAGGCCACACCCACAAACCAGTCTTTGCTTTCTCCAACCTCGACGTCCCAGCTGTGGGTCCCCGAGTCAAAGCCCTCCGAGCCCAGGACAATGTGGAAGCAGTCAAACCTCTCCGGGTTGTCGGGGACAGTCTGCTTCTGTCCACATCTCACGCTGGTCAGGTCTTCGGACAGGGTGAGCTTTTTGTATGCTGTGTTTGGATCCAGGACCACAGGAGTGTAGGAGACCAGGTTTTTCATCTTGCTCCAGATGTTGAAGGTCAGGTTGCCCAGGTGTTTGGCCACATCGATCAATGCTCCTGTGGGGGGCTGTGGGTTCTCTGGCAGGAGACAGTGTTGGATCTTGCTTGAAGCAGAGCTGAAGCTCAGCAGGAAGGAGGCGTCTTTACGTTTCAGAACTTCTTCTGTGTCCTGGATGGTGTTAGAAAGAGACATGATCTGTTTACTTAGAGCATCAATCTTCTCCTGCAGGACCTGACTCTTCTTCCTCTTCTCCTCCCTCAGAGCATTAATCCTGAGCTCCTCTTCCTTGTGGAGGAACTTGTAGAGCTTCTTGAAGTGGTCCTTGATGAGTGCCTCGGTGTGCTGGGCCTGGATCTCGTTGAGTTTAGCCGTGCTCTCACAGCCTTGTTTAGCTTCATTGAGGAGCTTCAGTTCCTCCTGTAAGGGCCTCAGGAGCTTTAGAAGTTCAGCTTTCAGCTCCTCTGCTTTGAGTGGTTTAAACTTGTGGTCAGCGTGCACGTCAGATATCTTACAGATGAGGCACACGGGCTCCTGATGATCCTCGCAGAACGACTCGAACCTCTCCGAGTGCAGGCTGCAGAAACTCTCTCGATCTTCTGGCTCTTGGGGCTTGTTTTGTCTGAACAACTCACAAAGTCGTTTCAAAGCCAAGTTGCACGGAGGATTCTTTGTGCGGGATCTTTTCTTACAAACTGGGCACTCCAGTATGGTTTTCCCATCCCACCAGTCGTGCAGGCAGTGCTTACAGTAGGTGTGGCTGCAGGACAGGATGACAGGATCCCTGAAGATGTCTCGACAAATCGGGCAACAGAGATCCTCGTCTGCTATCTGCGACATGGTCTTTCCTGAGGGTGGAAACACACGACAGGGTCAGTCCCAGTGGATTCTCACTTATGGACACATCTGCAGTGGTGCTTGAAAGTTTGTGAATTAATTTAAATGTTTCTATATTTCTGCATCAACATGATCTAAAACATCTTCAGATTTTTACACGAGTCTTAAAAGTAGAAAAAGAATCCAGTGAAACACAAGAGACAAATATTAGACTGGTCATTTAGGGTGCATTCACACCAGATAGTCCGGTAGACTCGGTTCGGTTCTGGACCAATATTCATGACCTTTTGTTACATTTGAGCTGGTGCGTTTGCATTCACACTGCACTGTGCAGTCGAGTCAACCTGTTGAAGCAACCTGTTGAAGCAACCTGTTGAAGCAACCTGTTGAAGCAACCTGTTGAAGCAACCTGTTGAAGCAACCTGTTGAACCAACCTGTTGAAGCAACCTGTTGAACCAACCTGTTGAAGCAACCTGTTGAAGCAACCTGTTGAACCAACCTGTTGAACCAACCTGTTGAAGCAACCTGTTGAACCAACCTGTTGAACCAACCTGTTCCCCCGCTCGCCTGTGGGGGCGCTGCACCAAGAACTACTGAAAGAAACGACACAAAAACCTCTGAAGACACGTCTTCTTCTTCTGTAAATAAAAATAAAAACGATGTGGCATCAAGTTTTAGCAGTTTTAGGAGTTATATTTAGTCATTTTTCAACAATGGACTCAGCATGAGCAGAGGATGAGACAGAAGACCATGGAGAATATTGTTTTCCACACAAGTCAGCTGACGGCTCCATATAAGAGAAATGTGTGTTTGTTTGTCCTGTGGAGCGGGTCTGGTCTGTTTACATTCACACTGTACTGGAACCGTGCTGGAGTTCTCTTCTACCGGACCCAGACCTAGGTTTTAGCCCGGGCCAGAGTTCACCTTTTTGTTCCGTGACAGAGTTCGATGGCGCGTTCACACCTCCCTAAACGAGCCAGACTTTCTAGGAAAACGAGCTAGAACTGGATTAAAGCGACTAAACAGGGCTGCTGTGAATGCAGCCTTATTTACTGAGGACAATGATCCAATGTTACATGTCTGTGAGTGGTAAAACTTTGTGAACCTTTGTTTTCAGTACCTGGTTAGTCTCTTTAGAATGATTTGTTCATTTATCTTTGTAGAGATCTAGTATAGAGCTGTATGAATGAGGACCCAGATTGTTGTGAAGAGCTTTGAGTGTCGTGATAATAAGATAGAAAGGACACAACGTGGGTCAGTGGAGTCCAAACTCTTTCAGAGTCAGTCAGAGTCAGAGTTTCTTTATTGTCATTCGCACTTCATGTGGTACATGTGGTGGAGCGAAATTATGTACACAGGGTCCCAGTTACATCCAACAATAAAATGTATAAGAAAAACAGTAATAACATCTAAGATATGAACTAAGAAAAACATCAACTAAATATACACTAAGCACTCATAACATAAAACATTGAACATCACCACAAACATGAACATGAGTCTGTGAGCAGATGTGCACGCATGAACACATCAACATTGAAACAGATCAGCAGCAACATGAAACAGATCAGCAGCAACATGAAACAGATCAGCAGCAACATGAAACATATCAGCAGCAACATGAAACAGATCAGCAGCAACATGAAACAGATCAG